AATGATGGTTCCTGAAAAGGGTTGTCATAAATTAGAAAATATTGTCAATGTAATCCCAATATGTAATCAATAACACAGAATTATAATATAGCCAGATAAAATGGATGATTTATCCGCCCTGGATGATCGGCAACTTCAATCACTTGCAACCTAGATATAATCTTACCAATATTAAAGGCCTTTTGTGGAAAAAGAAATAAGAATTGAGGCTATACACACACAATAAAACATAATAAGAAATCTATGAAATTAGTTCATAAAAATTTATACAAAAAATTATTTCAAATGATGTAGCATGTGCTTCCAGATTTTGACTTTATTTTTCATCACAAAAAAGAAAATAGTTACATATTTACCTGAAAAATATTGTGATTGCTAAAGAAAGAACTCATTTCAGTAAATTAATAGTTAAGAAAACCTAAAATGGATGAATAATTATAGCATATATTGATTCACTTCAAGAACTAACAATGTTCTAAATAGAATTTACAATAAAATGCTAATTAAACATAGCAAAGGAAAAAAAAAAAAAAACTTATCAAATATTGCAATAAAATAACTTTAAGAAACAAATAAGACTAAACAACAGAAGTATTGTAGTATATCAAGTGGGGGAAGAGAATGTTCTGGAAATAGCAAAATAAAAATAAAGATATAGCACATATGAACTTTGATTAGAACTTTGCCCAAAAGCTAGTTAAATATAGAGTAGTTCCTTCAATTCAATTGTAAAGTGAAAATAGTATAAAGATGTATACTCAAACAATGGTCTGGTATTAATACATGTATGATATATGCTTATGAGTTTTAAAGTCATTGTATTTCTTTGCAAGACAATAATCAATTATATACACATGTTACAAGGATGATAAATATAAGTTGCATCTAGTTTCACAAGTCTAAATTAACTTAAAATACAATAAGTTACATGTTTTTCTTTCATCTTATTTTTCTTGCAGTAATTTATATTATCTGATGATATAATGTAATTGCCCATATATTTATAATGAATTTATATTATCTGACAATATATTATTAGTTAAAATAAAGAGATCATTTTTTAGGTGAATCTCCAAAAATTGATTATTTAATATTACTAGTATTTTAGATTATTAGATATTAAAGAAGAAAATAGTTAGAATTTTTTTTAGAGGATTATTGATGAAAAAAATAGGCAAAGATATATGAATAAGATTAGAGACATGTGGAAAATATTGTTGAAAAAAAAATGCAAATACATAAATTTTAAAAAGTAAAATTATATATAAATATTATGTTAAAATGAATAAGAATAGGAAAATAAATAATATCGTAAATTTTTTCTCAAAATATAACTACATACGCATTTTACTTTCAATTGAGATGGAAAAAAATAAAAATTAAATTATAAACCTGAACTTTACGGTAAAAAAGAAAAAAGAAAAATCAATATACTCCCTCCGTCTCGCTGCAAGATTGTCATTGGCTTTTTCATATTGATCTTTAAATATTAATTATTATATCAAGACGTAGTACAAATCGACAAGAAAATACAAGAATATGTTTATTAGTTTCTTATAATACCAATACAATGACATTTTTAGAGTAAATTATTCAAATATAAAAATATTTTAATGTCAAATACAATGACGCAAAAACCAAATTACAACCTTGCAGCGGGACAAAAAAAGTATAATAGATTAGAAAAATATATTGATTCAAGAAAAACTACTTATTGGTACTAATAAATATAGAAAAAATATATTACTCAAAGAATAAAATAAAATTTGAAATAACGAACAAAATCATCAATTTAAGTAAAATATATTATATATTAAAAAATAATATTAAACAATAAACATATATATTAATAAACTATCTATGCATATTATATGCGATATGATATTAATAAACTATACAATTTAAATATATTAATAAATATATCTTATTTTTATAAGTAATCATTATTGACAAAATCTATAAAGCAAAAATTATATAATACTCTCTTGTATTTTAATAAAAATGCATAAAATATCATCTTTTTTTTTATTTATTGTGTGAAATTCTTTATGTTAATGTAAAATTTGCACGAAACACCCTCTTGTCCAAAACTTACATTTGATTCTAAATAAATATCTAAATTACGCAAGTTTAATACAAATAAAAAACGCAAAATATCTTAAATAATTTTTTTGAAAAAAAATAAATAAATAATTTATTAAATCTTTCATTTTATGGTTTTTGAAAACAAATTATTATCTGATTTTTATAAAAACTATAAAAATAAATGATTAATCAATTATTTATTTATTTATTTATTTTGTTCAAAAAAATTATTTAAAATATTTTAGGTTTTTTTTTGTATGAAACTTGCGTAATTTAAGTCTTTATTTAGAAGAAAAAATCAGTTTTGAGCAAAGAGGATGTTTCGTCCAAACTTTACATTAACACAAAGGGGTTTCACGCTATAAATAAAACATATGATTTTTTTACATTTTTGTTAAAACACAATAAGATATTATATAATTTACTCATTTTTAAATGATTATTCAAGCATTTGTGATAATATAAATGAAATATTTTGGTTAAGGGTATAAAAGTCTTTTGCTAATACTAGCGTTTTATTAAAAAAGTGTTTGGCAAAAAGCTTTTTTAAGAGCTTATTTAAAAGTTTTTGGCCTGTTTTGACTAGTCAAAAAACTAATTTAGATGTTTGGTAAATTAGTTTTTTGAAATAGTTTATTGGTCCCAAAAATTAATTTCTGAAAAGCTATATAACTCAGCGCGTTTTCATTTTAATTTTTTTTATTCCTTATTTATCCTTAAAATGTTATTATTTATTTCACATACATATAAATATATTTTCTACTGCAGTAATTATAAATTATTTTAATATATTATTCATTAAATTATAATTTTATTTTTATAAATTTAAATTAATTAATTTATTTGTAAACTATAATTATGTTTTTATTATTATTTTATTTTTAAATTAAAATTAAATAAAATAGAATAATTTATGAAAAATTATAAATATAGTAAATTAATCAATAATTAATATAATAAATATATATACAAACATTTTATTATTTTATATTTTACATTATGTTTAATAAAAACATATACTATTATTTTTCTCACGTATAAAATTAATAAAACAAAAATATTTTATAACACATTCGTAATTTTAAATAACTAATAACAAAAATTTTAAAGTTTTTAAAACTAAAAAATACAATTAAAAAAATGTAAAAGTAAAATATAAATATTTTTAATTGTCATTTTATATATAAACAGCTAAAATCAAACAGTTGTTTTACCAAACACTTTAATACAAACAATCAGTTACTCAAACCAACTAATTGAATCATTTAAACGCTAACACTAATTGTCAAACACACTTTTAAGTATCAATTTTTTATGTTTCTGCGTTACAGATTCTGCCCGGCCAGTATTAATGTTATTTTAATTCAAAATTTTTACTATTTAAATCTTTAACTTAAAATTCAAATCTCAAAACAAACACATTAGTTCCAAGTTCGAACTCATTTCACAAGTAGAAATTATTGCTCTTAAATTTCTGTGTTACAAACAAATTTACACAAATTTCTGGAAAAGGTGTATAAGGGTAGCTTCAAACACCCCCAAAATATGGAGTTTGGTGGAAGAATATTTGTTTCAATCCACTCCATATGTATTCTTTAAAATAATAATAATAATAATAATAATAATAATAATTAATTTTTGACAAAATTGTCCATAACTCTCTTGTGGTTTCGAAACTCAGCGTAAATTCCTCCTCTACTTTAAAAATTGCATGACGTCCCCTTGTACTTTAAAAAATGATGCATGAAACCACTTTATGGTTTCAAAACTCAGCATAAATCTCCATTTTACTTTAAAAAATTGTAAGACGCTCACTTATACTTTCAAAAATATTGCATAAAACCCCCCGCTATGCAAAACATATAGATAGGAAATCATCTTCTTATCACACGAGGAAAATTTCATGGTGGTGGGGTTTCATGCAACGTTTTTTAAAGTATAAGGGGGTACCATGCAATTTCTAAAGTACAGGGAGATTTTACGCTGAATTTCGAAACCACAGGAGAGTTATAAGCAATTTTACTTTAATTTTTTGTATATTAGTTTTTATTTATTTTTTATTTTTTAAAAAAATAATATTAATTGTAGATATATAAAATTGAAAAATATTTTTGTAAGAAAATAAAATTATTATAATAATTATATTTTAAAATTAAAACTGAAATTTGTAAATTAAAGATGCCTAGATAAATCCCAAAATCAAATTCCAAAACCACGTTCAAAACACACACTTTGTCTTGTAGGGTAGGCTCTTTGCCCGGCCATTTAGATCATCCACAACGGAAGGCGTTTCCAACTTAGCGTCTCCCACGTCACTATTTTATTAAAAAATAAAAAAAAAAAAAATTGATTTGACACAGGAAACCGAATACTGCGAGGTTGAAGTTCTTTCTTATAATTCCTCATTTTGGCTGGGGCCAAGTGCTTATTTTTATATTTAATTAATAATATTAAAATTATATATATCATATTTATACTAATTTGTTTGTTTTAAAGATTTTATTTAAATTTATTATATAAATTTTATTTAATATTTGTAATAATAGAAAATTTAAATATATTTTTATTTTTATTTTAAATAGTTTTTAATGAATATTTTATAAAACATTTAATCTAATATCTACTATTAATTTAATTATAATTATTGATTAAAAAGTAATTTTTTATTAACATATATAACTTTATTAAAATTATACATAATACAAATAAAAATAAAAGTAAATGAAAATATTCATAAATTTAAAAATAAATTTACATGATTTAATTAAAATTACACACAATACAGATATTAATTGAAAATGCATAAAATTATTCATAAATTTAAATGCAAAGTTATACAACCTAATTAAAATTGCAGACAATATATATAATAATTAAAAAAACATGAAAAAATCCTAATAAATTTGAATGCAAACTTACAGAAAGCATTCGCGTGCCAACCTTTCTTTCACTCCTTTTTCAAAATCAGTCAGATTATCATCACTTTTGGCCATTAACATCATGAGCATCTCCATCTTATTTGAAGCAAGTTGTAGTCGTTTAGCATCCCGATCAATCTTCCTCGTTGTTTTTTCCAATCTTTTAGCTTTTAGAAGTGCTTCTATTTTTTCGGATTGTTGCTTCAAACTTTGTTCCTTGACTGCTGCCATATGTTCCATACTTGAGCTAAATTCGCTGCTTTTTTCGTAAAATTTTTCATATTTTTCAGTAGGATTTGAATTGAATTCCTCGTTTTGCACATGTTTCCCCCTCTTCTTACTTGCTTTAACACCGGGGGGGGGAGGGGTGGGCGAGTAGGAGGAGTTGGGTCATCCACATCAAAGTATGGTGTCGTCGGACACGAACTTGAATAACCACCATCTTCACTTGTTTTCGTTCGCTTTGAACTTCCACCACTGTTACGAGATGATTCGCAGTAACTGGCCTTCCATTTGGGCTCATCTCTGAGTATACGCCAAGCATTTTCATGGACGAAATCTTTCTTCTCACCGTCATTTAAATATATCTTCTTTGCTGCATTGAGGACATCCTTGCTTGCATGTCCACTGCCTATGTTTCGATTAGCCTCCTCATAACACCCAACAAACTTTTGCACAGCCTTACATATTTTACTCCAATGATTTTTACATTGAGTAACACCTCTGCTCGTTGCACTTTCAGGCTTGTTCTCCATGTAGTACGATGCGATTCTTTTCCAGAAAGCACTACTTGGTTGGTCAGTATTGGTTACGGCATCTTTACTTGTGTTTAGCCATGCACTGATTAGAAGTTTGTCTTCGGTCGAGCTCCACACCTTCCTTGTATCTTTATTTTTTGTATTATCAGGAACATTATCATCTGCTAAATTGATAGGTGTGTAGTATTGTGGAGTATCCATTGCTTCAGTGGCTTGCATCATGAATTGAGGAGATGATGAACTTCCGAATGCTTGAAAGTTTGGAGGATAGAAGTTTGGAGGAATTTGATAATATGGTGGAGGATTGAATGGCTGAAATGGAACATTAGATGTAGGGAACATTGGTTGATTTCCTAACATGTTCATAAAACTTGAAAATCGAAAAGAATTTTGGGGATCTTGAGAGTTGGATGAATTTTGAGAGTTGGGATCCATTCGTAGGAAATTCAGGAGAAAATATAGAGATAAGAAAATGAAGAGAGATGATTTAAGGAGATGGTGAAGATCATATGAAGTAAGTATGTAGTGTATTTATAGTAAATATTGCAATGGCTATATTCCTAACGGCTATATTCCCAACGGCTATATTCCTAACGGCTATATTCCCAACGACTATATTCTTAACGGCTATATTCCTAACGGCTATATTCCCAACGACTATATTCCCAACGGCTATATTCTCAACGGCTATATTCCCAAAGACTAGTTTTTTTATTTATATATATGTTACCAATTCATATGCACATAATTCATTTAGACAATAGTTCAATCTTTCATATTTTAAAACACATTTATTTTCTCCCAAAATAATGATGTGACCATCATGACGGAATTGGACCACAAGTCCCAAGGCCCATAAGGCCAGGAGCACTTTACAAGGCATTGGACCTCCCCTAAATTGCTATGCCTAATTGAAGGAATCCCATGAATCAATATCCCCTATATAAATGAATGCGTTCGCATCAAATAATGTCAACCCCATCCTTATCTCTGTCTGATTCATCTGACGAAGACTTGGAAAATATGTGTCAATTGGCAAAAACATATGCTCAATTGTATCAAGAGATTGAGCACTTCAACAATGAAGATGAGGGAAGCTCGCGGTAACGTCGACGGAGAACATACATAGAGAGGAATCATGAAGATGACCATACTCGATTATTCAATGATTATTTTTCTGATAACCCCGTGTATCCAAGTTCTTATTTTCGGCGTAGGTTCCGAATGAGAAAGCATGTCTTTCTTCAAATCGTAGATCGACTCTCCAATGAAATAGAGTTTTTTCAGCAACGGCGTGATACTACAGGAAGAGATGGATTGTCAGCATTACAAAAATGCACAGCAGCAATACGTGTATTGGCATACGGCACAACTACTGATATTGTTGATGAATATCTTCGTCTTGGAGAGAGCACCACAAGGGCATGTTTGAAGAAATTTGTTGAAGGGATATGTTCTCTATTTGGTGACGAATACCTGCGACGACCAAATTCTGCTGATATACAACGATTATTATTTGTTCAAGAGACACGTGGCTTTCCAGGCATGCTAGGAAGTATTGATTGTATGCACTGGGAATGGAAAAATTGTCCGGCTGCTTGGAAAGGGCAATTCGAACGTGGAGATCATGGAAAACCTACAGTTATATTGGAAGTTGTAGCGTCATACGATCTATGGATTTGGCATGCATTTTTTGGCACACCAGGTACATGCAATGACATTAATGTACTTGATCGATCTCCGGTATTCAATGACGTTTTGAATGGGAGAGCTCCAGAAGTTAACTTTGTTATTAACGGTCATCAATATAATATGGGATATTATCTTACAGATGGAATTTACCCTCCGTGGGCAACTTTTGTTCAATCAATTCGTCTGCCTCAAGGTTATAAAGCACAACTATTTGCGCAACATCAAGAAGCGGTTCGAAAAGATGTGGAGCGTGCCTTTGGTGTATTACAAGCTCGGTTTGCCTTCATTAAAACTCCATCACTTATTTAGGATATCAATTTACTAGGTAAAATAATGAAAGCATGCATCATATTGCATAATATGATTGTAGAAGATGAAAGAAACACTTACATGCATTATTACGATACATCTTAATATGATCAAGTGGAGACAAGTGCTAACTCGAATTGGTCATACAACAATACGAGACATGCAACTATGGAGCAATACCTACAAAATAGAATGCGACTCCGAGCTAGGGAAACACACTATCAACTCAAAGCGGATTTAGTTGAACACATTTGGGATAAGTTTGGTCAATCGGATATTTAATTTATTTGAAAAATATATTGTAATATTATGTTTTTTTTATTAAATTTTAGTTTTAACTTTAATTATTATGCAAGTGTGAAATTATTATTTTTATTTATTTTATTTATTTATGCTAAATAATTGTTTTATTTTTATTAAATATTATAAGAATAAAATATGATTGAAAAATATAATTTTATTTTATAAATATATAAATATTTAATGACGTGGAAAAAATAGAGTTTTTAAAAGGTTCTTTGATGTGGATATAAAATATGATTGAAGTTCTTCGTGATGTGGAGGAAAGAGAAGCTGATGTGGCGCATGAAAGAAAATGGGAAGAAACCCTGTATGAGTTTCTGCATTGCGGGTGCCCTTAGGGCATCTACATTGGGGCTTTTCGGCTGCAGAGAAACACCTGAATCATTTGTTTTATTAAGGGTGTGTTTGTTTGGGGGTTTGGATTTTAAGTTGAGATTTGAATAGTAAAAATTTTGAATTTGAATAGTTGTATGATATGATATAATTAGGTATTGATGTGATATTTTGAATGTAAAATTTATTTTTAGTATAATATAAAAAATAAAAAATAGATGTTTGATTTGATATTTTTGGAGGAAAAAAATGGAATAAATAGTGAAAATCTAATCCAATCTCCCAAACAATCACACCCTAAAAAAAAATTGAAAAAATAACATGGAAATTAAAGAAAAAGAGTTCTGGTGCTCTGCGCTGCAATGGCCACTCAATGTCAAGGTTGCTTAACTTGGTATTGCTACGTGTCCCAATTAAATCGGAATACGTGCCAAAAAAAAGTCAATAGATTATTTTATTTTTTTATATAGTTTATTTAAATTATAGTCATTTTATTTCAATACAATACTTCTGTTTATCATTTTTATCCTATTCAAAACAATAGTCTCATTTTCATAAATAATTGTATCACTATAAAATTATCTTTACTTTTTCATTATTATTACACAATTACCGCTACTTTTTACACTAATACATTCACAAGGGTAAAAAAATCTTTTACATGTACTTTTTACCTGCTACCAATATAATATCAATATTTCTTAAATCTCGTACCAAACTCAACCCGGACTATAATCCTGAGACGGAAGGGGTATATATTTTTGTTTATTTAAATATAATTAATTTATTATAATAAATAAATTTTAAATAAATATTGACATATTTTTATTTAATAAAAATTTTAATTAAATATAATCAATTAATAATAATTTAATTTTATAATTATCTTATAATATATTCAATAAATTAAAAAATAATTAAATAGATATAATTACTAATTGTAGTTTAGAAAAAAATATTAAAATAAGAACATAATAATAATAATCATATTAATAAATATTTGTTATAACATATACATTAAATTATAAAATAAATATTAATAAATATGTAGTATATTAGATAATATTATTATTATTTAAATTATTTTAAAAATTGATAATTTAATAATATATAAAAAAATTAAAATTATATAAATGAGTTTTTTTTTTATGTGAATATAAAATAATATAGATTTCTACGATGATATGATAGAGAGAATACAATACGTAGGAGAAGAGAGCAAAAAAAAACCAATCTGAGTTCATTGAAGCGGATGGTCTTATTAATCAAATCCCGACAGTGAAATTCAAGCATGGGTTTCTCACTTTATTATTACGCTCGGTCAGGTCAACTCAATCCTTCTGGATACTCTGTCCTATTTATTTATTACATTACCTAATTTACTTACACACACTCCACCAGACAAACATCGACCGTTTGTGGTCCCCACATCCAATTCTTTCTTTTTTACTTCATCGGTGTAACAAAGATGTATTACCGTGTACACGAGAATTTAGGTAAAGTATAATTATTAAATAATTAAAAAATATATTAATAAAAATAATTATTATTTACTAAAAATAATTATAAATTAACATCAAGATGAGTAAGTAGTTTAATTAAAATTAATAAAATTATAAAATTTAAAATACGATCAAAATGCATAATTATATTTCTAAAAATAAAAAAAATAAGTTATAAGTTAGTTATATGGGACGAACGAAACTAAAAAATAGGAGCAAATTATTTGAGACGAAGAAGTAACTTTTTATTTTTTTCTAACGAAATAAATTAAAAATTCGCTCAACGCACCGTCACCACATGCGCGCCGCGTCACCGACCAACCCTATTTCGCCACGTCACCCTTTGCAGGACGAACGTCGGTCGATCAAACGGATACGGGAATTTGCACGCAAAGAGGATAAGAGGCCCACGTCATCCCTGGCCCACAGCGCCAACTTTATTGCTTGACCAACCGACGGCGCGTGCACAACACGTGCCAGATAGACCATCAGGGGTTGCCCACCACGCCAACTCTTTCTTCTAGACAATGCTATATGTTTTTTCTAAAAAAATATTTTTTATTTATTTATCTAAATGATGTGGTGCCACGTCATATAGGGCTGGGATTCTCTGCGACGGTTGTGTTTTGATGGTGCTGTCCCAGCCGTCGGATCGTTAAAAATAAAGTTTTATTTGATTCGGCCAAATTTGAATTCAATATTAATTCAAAGCTAAAATTATGAGAAATTAAATAAAGTTGACAACAATAATTGCATTATTTTGGAGTGTAGTCTCTGTTAATCTATCAATCACAATCGAGTTTGCACTTTTATTTTTTGAATTTTGTTTTTTTTTTTTTTTTTGTAATTTTTATTATTTTTATTATATTATATAAAATCATATGCATCATGTGAATTGAGAATGCACTTCTCTACAAAGAGGTGGGACATCTTATAATGTTACGGGTGTGTTTCGGCTGTGTTTTGTTTGACAAATTAAAATTTTTTAAATTTTAATGCTCCTACCGTCTCATCAAAAAAATACAATTTTTTTTTATCTGTTTCAAAATAAAGGTATAATTTTCTAATTTAATAATTGTACTACCTACTTAACATAATAAATACCTTTACAACTTACCATATATTACACAAATATTATCACTTTTATAACACACCATACTAATAGAGGCATTTTCGTTTTTTTTACTACAAATTAATATAATATTAATATTAAAAAATATACGTGCAAAAAATAAACAGTATTCTTAAAGGAGTATTTAAAATTTGCATTGTTTATAGAAAAAATAATATATATATATTTTTAAACAAAATATCTTATCATATATTAGTTAATATCAAATTCAAATCAATTTTTGCCAAACTCAATAAATAATAATAATAATAATAATAATAATAAAAAACCTTAATAATGCATAATAAATAAAAAATACTCCATCCGTCCGGTAAATTTAAAACATTTAGTTTCGAGACTAAAATAAAAAAAAATATCAAAAAATAATAAAAATAAAAAAGATAGTCACAAATATTTATAGAAATTAAAGAAATTAAGGAGAAAAAATGAAATAAAAATATATGATATTTTATAAATAAGTGTTAAATAAAAAATAATAATTAAATTTTAATTTATTGACTTTATAAAAAATAAGTAATAAATTAAATTTAACAAAAAGACTAAAAAAAAAGTAATAATAAAATTAAAGTACGACAAAGAATTCATAGTGTATAATAATAGTATATAAAAATTAACATATGATGCAACATTAGTGTATCCATTATATATTACTATTGAACTCGACGGATATTGGGTGTGTTTGGCAACTATTACCTCCGTTCCACGTAATTTGTCCATATTTTTTATTTTCGTTCGTTCCACATAATTTAATTTTTTATTGAAATATAATTATCTACTTTAATCACATTTTAAGTATTAAGTTTTATAATTTTTTTAATCTTAATTAAATTGTTTACTTATCTTAATGTATAATTATTTCTACTAATACATTTTTTAATTACCTACTAATTATATTTTACCTAAATTCTCGTAAATCTATATCTACAGTAACACGCCCAAAATATATGGGACAGAGGGAGTAGTTGATAGTTGTTAGCGGTTAGTTGATTCGATTAGCTATTAGCTGTTAGCTAATTTAATTAGCTGGTTTGACTAGTTGATTTAATTAGTTGTTTGTATATGAATTAATAACACAAGACAATAATCAATATAATTATATAACATATGTTAATGTTAATCTTAACATATACTCCCTCTATCCCACATACCATATTCAAGTTGCCGTTTTTGTCCGTCCCACATTCCATGTCACTTTTCTTTTTTGGAAAATGATTACACACTTTAATCTCATTTTAAACTTTTTAATTTTAATTAAACTAATTAGTTATCTTAATCTTAATTTATAATTATTTATATTATAGGATAATTATTTTTGTTAATACATTTTTAATTATCTACTAACTATACTCATTTTAAAATACTGTGTTTACAGTGTAGTAGACACGGTATATGAAACGGAAGGAATAATTTTCTTTATTTTCTTTATTTTTTTCTTTTATGATAAAAGGATACAAAAAGTAATGTATTTTATTAAAAAAATAAAAATAGCAATAAAAAAAATAACTAAAAGAGTAAAATACTTCTAAAGCAAACGAATATATAAATGAGACACAAAGGAGTATAATCTTATTTTTTATAATAATATTTACAAAAAATATAAAAAATATTAAATGAACAAACTATCATTACAATTTTATTTATTTCTTTCATCTCGCGATGAGTGTCTTAATCACCGTAGACATAAGAATTTATGATAAGTATAATTAATAAATAATTAAAAATATATTAATAAAAATAATTAATCTATATTATAAATCACTATAGATTAATATTAAAATAATTAATTAATTTAATTAAAATAAAAAAATTAAATTAAAATAGGTAATTATTAAGAAAAAAAATGACAGAGACGTAAGATGAATAAAAATACAATATGATAAAAAGGAAAAATAAAAAGGCACATAGCCACCAATAAGATAATTACAGCGCCGCCTATTCCAGCAAAATGACGAGTTTGCCCCTACATTTGGAGCTATCAAGAAAGGAAGGCCCCGCCCCCTCTCATTCGTCACCACTTGTAATCCGAAAGACATAAGAACTTCCCACAAAGTTTGAAATCCGATAGACATCTCTCCTTCTCTCTCTCTCTCTGTTTATCCATTCGATAATCAATTCCTTTTTAGAAAAAAAAAAAAAAAAAAAAATTAAATGCAGAAAATTTGTATCGAAGAATCGATTGCGTAAACGCCCGAGTTTATCCACACGCCTCGATTTCCGCACAAATTTTCCATTGGCGTTTTAATCCTGTTGGTTTCGAGCGACGACACGATTCTGTTGAGGAATCTCGAAACCCCAGCGGAGGAGATTTGTAAAGATGATGCGAAGGCAGGCTCAGAGTCAACAGGATTATCAATCCAAGATTTTATACGAGCTTTCAGCTTTAGTTCTCAACATCATGCGATCCCCTCCGCCGTCGATCGGTTTCTCCGATCAGGCGGCGGCGGCGGATCGCCGGAGACCTGATTGGCCGTCGTTCCAGCAGATTACTCCCGCGGGGTTTGCTTCGATGCTTTTAGGGATTTCATTGGCTCTGATGCTCTGTGGATCCGTGACTTTTTTCCTTGGTTTCATTCTCATGCCCTGGGTTCTCGGATTGGTTATAGTTTTATACTTTGTTGGCGTGGTTTCGAGCATATCCATGATTGGGAGAGCGATTTTGTGTCATAATTCTGCGCCTCCTTCCCCTAGGAAGGACTATTCTTGTAAGAAATCTTCTCGCTTTTTCTGGTGATATTTACAGTTTACTGCTACTTTGCTGCTGGTTGTTCTTGATTGATTTAGTTTCCATTTGTTCTAGCCTGTTATGCTATCATTTTTGGGGTTTAGACATCTCAATTTAGCTGTTGCTGTTGAATTTTTGTCGTGTTCTGGTCTTGTCTGTTCTTGTACAATGAAAACTTTATGCTACTTTTTTGGGGTTTAGACATGTGAGTTGTGTATTTGTGCCTTTTTTGAGACAAACAAAGATTTAGATCATAGATTATTAGTTATGGAATGTTGTGGATTTGCCAAAAGTAATTGGATAACATTAATTATGATGATTACTATTTTAGACTAATTCGATTTCTTTCATTTAATCCTTTCTGGTTTATTGATCTTCTGTAAGATTCATATAAATCTCAGATTTGATTTCAAGAACTTTATTTGTTTTGAATGATCATGGCTTCATAAGAGAAGTTTGCTATTTTCTTCAAGTCCCTTTTATTAAATTTGTTGTTTTGATATTGCTCTTTGCGAACAAGAGACTTAGGATAGCAAAGAATGAATAATTCGATGGTTTTCTATTCGTTCCTGTTATTTATTTTCCGAGTTTGTATTGCAGCCTGGAAGTTTTTATAATGATCGTGGTGGGGATGGACATTGTGTAGAGGGAGGGACTTAGGCAGCGCTATGATCGTTTATTGTTGCGCTGCATCTTGCAATGTATCATTCAAAAATTCGACTTGCAGAAGCATTTCGGGTATTTTCTCTCCACTGGGATATTAGGTGAACATCGCCACATACAGCAAAAAATTCTATTCGGTTCGAGAATGAGCTTCTTTCCAAGTTGCATCATTCCAAGATGGAATATTCGACTAAAGCTCTATTTCCTGGTTATAGCTAGAAACAGGAAGGATCTATTTGTTTTGCCAATTCTCTGTTTCTTCAAAGGAATACTTTTCTTTTTCTTTTTTTTTGTGTTTTTTTTTCTTCCCCCTTTTTTTTTTTTTTTTTTTATAATATTTATGTGTACAAGAATCGACTGTATAATATTTCCTCTCCATCTGGTTTTTACTGAAATTGGCGTGAGACTCCAATGTTTCCATGTGTACATATTCTATGCCAAAAAGATTAAGTTTGAGGAATTCTTTGCTTAAGAATTCCATATCTATTGAATTTGTACCTTTTGCTTTTTCTTCATTTGGTATATTTTGCTTTTATTTGTCAATTTTTGCTTAAGTTAGGCCCTTGAAGAAAGAAAATTCGATTATTCATCTCAATTCTGTACCCAAACTATTCTGCAAATGTTATTTTACACTCTAATGTACAAAAGCTTTGCTCATTCATGGTAAGAGTTATGCAGGAAATGGATAGAGTGTGCATAAGAAGACATCCAATTGAAAGGTCTCGAATGCCCGCGATCTACCGGTAGATTTTGATCACCAAGATTCGACAGCAGCATCAAGAAGGCGGCATTTCTTGGGATTTCTCATCGGGTGTCGCAGTGTGGAAGAACTGTGATACTTCGCGATAAAGCAGATCAGCCTCGAATGGCTTCGATACGTAGCCATCCATCTCACACTTCAAGCATTCTTCGTTGGTGGCTTGAATTACGTCGGCTGTCATGGCCAAGATAGTCACGTGCCAGTTCGAGATGCTCCCGAAATCCTCCACGGAGAGGTCCCCTGACCGGAGACGGTCGTTGATGCTGGACTCGATCTCCCGGATCCTCTTTGTAGCTTCAAACCTGGAGAAAATGCAAAATACCCGTAAAACTAGCTCGAACAGGTGATATGTGTCGTGAAACTTCTTCGAAAGTATTGAAAAATCGAGGCTGATGCGTACCCATCCATTTCGGGCATCTGGATATCCATGAAGCAGGCATCGAAACGATGAAAGGGAGTTAGCAACGAGATTGCGTCCTTCCCTCTCTCCGCAAGGATTACATCGGCGCCGTAACGTTTCAATGCTCCATCGGCTACATGGAGATTCACCGGATTGTCGTCGACGACCAAAATCCTTCTCCCGCGGAGGAGATTGTTGAGGGACAATGTCTGAAGCTCGACTTTTCCTCGGTTTCCTACGCCCATGGCACGTTGTAGGGATGCTGCGAGCATACTTGCCCTAAGTGGCTTTACGACGACAAATGGATTAGGACAACCGGCGCCGGGGGAGACATTCGACGACTTGGATAAAATAAGCATTGTAGGCGCGACCGTTTGATTGGTACTTAAAGTCGCGGAAAGTCGAAGATGGATGCCCTTGTCCTTCTCCCATATCTCCTCTTCTACGAAAACCATGTTGATCGGGGTGTTTCTCGGGTTTAAGCTTGAAAAGTCTCGACTGGAGTCGCAGACGACTTCGACGTGTATTCCCAAGCGCTCGATGTGATATTTGGAGACGTTTGCTCGGATGGGATTCGAGTCGATTACCAGAGCTTCCATGCCTTGGAACTCCGATGACAGTGAATTCGACTGGCTGCTCACTTGCTGACTGATCCGGTCGTTTAAGTCGGAACATCCGTTGGCGAAAACTGCGGTGAAAGTGAAAGTCGATCCGACTTGGGGCGAGCTTGCGAGCCCGATCTCGCCGTTCATGAGGCGCACCAAACACTTGCTGATGCTCAGCCCGATCCCCGTCCCGCCGTGCGTTCGTGTTATCGAGGGTCCGACTTGCATGAATGGGTTGAACACGCGGGATTGAGCTTCGACCGGGATTCCTTGGCCTGTGTCCTCCACGGATACGATAAGGTTTATTTGTTCAGACGACAATGACGATGAAGAAGAAGAAGAAGAAGAAGAACGCACAGCGCTGTCTCGGTTGAAGCTCGGCCAACTCTCCCTGCCATTGACTACGCGCACACCGCTCAGAGTATTCGTCGTGTCGAACTCCTCATCTATCAATTTGATCACTTCTTCGACTAGATGGACTGTGACGAATATGTGTCCCTTATCGGTGAACTGCAAAGAGATGGATCGATCGTTCGATGAGAATCATTAGGTGCAGAGAGTTGAAATTTCTAAGAATGTAGACGAAGCTCACTTTGATCGAGTTTCCGACCAAGTTCATCACAATCTGTCGGAACCTTCCCGGATCGCCAACTAGTGTCGCCGGAACTCTACTAGAGACATATACAGCCAACTGCGCTCGAATAAAAATTGACCAAGGTTAGTTTAATGGGAAGGTATTCGATGGAGCTCAAACGTACATTTTACCTCGAGTCTCTTGTCTTGCGATTTCCCTGAGAACAATGTCAAGACGTCGTCGAGAATCGCTCTCAAGTCGAAGCAAACTGCCTCGAGCTCAAGTTTTCCGGATTCGATCTTCGCTTGGTCTAAAACCTCGTTGATCAGCGAAACTAAAGCCTTCCCGCTGCTGCGTGCAGTTCGAACGTAATCCTGCTGAGTTTCGTCGAGCTCTGTATCCATGAGCATATGCAGCATTCCTGTTGGGAACAAAACATATGACGATATGATTCGTGTCGATCATCTGAAACCGAAGCTGCAAGAGAAAAGTAACGCATTTTGCTCACCAAGGACGCCGTTCATCGGTGTTCGGATTTCGTGCGATACCGTCGCAAGAAACTGCATTCAAGACGAACTCATTTAGAAGTGCGATCGGATCGTAAACAAAGTTCGACAAACTACTCAAACCTGCGACTTGGCGATGTCGGCTGCCTCCGAGCGCTTCTTCAGCTCCATCATCTTGTGGTAGTCGTCTTCGACTTTGGCTATCCGGTTCACCGTGGCGTGGAAGATCTGTCCCACGAGCAACGAGATTATAAGGATGCCGACCGACGTGGTGATCGCGACCCACGGCCACGGGGCCCTCTGCTTGAACCGGCAATGCATCGCGTGTTTCCTGAACGGATCGCCGAAGTTGAGGGGGCTGACGTGGTGCAGCCCTTCCGATGAGGTGGTTGATCCGTACATGCTGATCGGGTGCGAGGAGTTCGTCATGTCGTACACATTCACGAGGATCGTTTGCGTGCTCGCGAGCTGTTGGAGCAGCTTCTCGACGAGCGATTCGATGTCGAAGATCCCGCCGAGATACCTATTCAGAAAAAAACGAACGGAATCATCGAAAATTTTCGAGGAAATCTTGCAAAGAAGCTAGCGAAGATACCCCGCCGTTTCTTGGATCCTCTCGTGAGGAGTCGCCGTAGGCGAAAGATCACGCTTGTATACGGCGAACGTTAATATCACGCCGAGGCGATTGGTTTTGAGTAACCGGAACGGCGCTGTGAGCACGCCCTTCCCGGATTCTCTAGCCCGCAACACGTTGTCTCGATCTTCCTATTAAATACACAACACCTGGTTACGCGTACTAGTCGTTCTAACTATGGGTGTGATACTCGCGCGTGTTTTTGTGTCGTAGTGCAAATTATCGTCGCACCTTGCCCGAAAGTACGTCGATGGATATTATATGCGCAACGGTGTCTTGTGCGAAGACGACGGGGGCATACTCCTCTTGCACCGGTGACGGCTCAAGGTCGGCCGGATCGTACTCGTCTTCGTGCACCGGCGTTTGCTCCACATTGTCCATTCTCTTGATGCTCCATCCTTGCCGGACCTCGAATTCGTCGCGGTCGGCGTGCAGCACCCGGACGGCGTACGCCACGCCGCTTGTTAGCGGCCGCTCGAAGCCGGTTTTCTCGGTGAACCACGCGAACGTTCTCTGAAATCCAAATTAGGATCGAAACCAAAATAAATTACGATGTTCTACAGAGCTGAGCTGTAAATTAAACAAACAGTTTGAAAAATTAGTTCATATTTTGTTTGCTAAGCTAATTAAATTAAACAAGAATATAAATTTTAAGCGAATTTGATCTTATTCGTCACCATTTAATAAAGTAATTATTAAAAAGTTAAAAATATAAATTAGAAAAAAAAAAAAAAAAAAAAAGAAAACGAAGCAAGTTCAACCATGAGAATTTCTCATTAGCAGGTCTACAGTTCCCGGATAAATACATAATTCAATAGAATTAGGGTTCCGGCGACCTGATCGACGGCGGAGGGAGACTTGCTGTGGTGGAAGGTGGAGACCATGACGGACATGGCCTGGATGTGGTTCATGCTGACGTTGAACTGATCCTGAAGCATCCTGGCACGCTCGTCGCACATGCCGGCCAGGGTCTCCTTCCTCTTCTCGGCGGCCTGAGAATTCATGTACCAGAAAACCGACAGCGCCGCCGCCGACCCGAACAGCAGCCACGCCACCAGGAGCTTCCGCCACCAGTTCTTGCTCACCTTCCGCGACCGCGAGTAGTGCTGCAGCTGCTGGATCCTCCCGCCGCACGCCGCCGCCTTCCGCCACACCTTTTCGCCGTCGACGGCGACGGTCATAATTGCCCAGCAGCCGGAAATCAAAATCAGATTGGCTGATCTTGAGGCGAAGGCGATTATGTTGAATAAATTCATACAATGATTAATAATAATAATAATAATGTAATGAAAGTAGATTGATGATTGGGGAAATGAGAGAAAGAGTGGTCACATTTTTGGAAATGTATTTTATGTGAAAATTGGAAAAGGGAAATGAAGAGCAGGACAGAGCAGAGCACGATGTGTGCAAAAACCACGAGAATCTCAGAAAGGGCGAATGTGATGGATTGGTGGTAAAAGTACTGTCCGAAAGAAAGGGGAAATAAAAATAAAAATAAAAATAAAAATAAAATGAAGGGGCCATGGGCATTATCTTCAATTTCGAATAAATCCGTCCATCACAGAAAAAGATGGGAAGATATTTTTATTTTTTAAATGAATCTACTGTGTCCGAAATGATGGAAATTTGGAAATACTTCTTCTTTCACAAAGGTGGCTTATTACAATTATTTATATATTTATCTATGGTTTTGTGACTAGGAGTGCTTCGCTTTGGTTTCGGAAAAGATTGATGAGAATACTCTGACAGAAAATATATACAGTTATGTTTATATATTTTTTGGTTTTCTAAAATTTTATTACTTGAATTATATTTTCAAGCTAAAAAATCCCACATGATCTAAAAGGATTTCTTTTTTTTTTTTTTTAAATGGTTTAATTAATTATTTTGATGATGGTAAAAAAATTCTATTTATTTTGTATTTTCAATTTAAAATATTTTTATTTTAGTAGCTTATCGGTTATATAAAAAATAATTATTTTTTAGTTATTACTTTTCTAGTGGATATAATATATATGGTATGTATTGTGTGAATATATATGAAAATTATTGTGTTTTTATAATATTAATGAGGTCATTGGTCTAAAAAAATGTAACCCCAGCTTGCAAGTCAAATGTTTTGGGTTCGTACACTGGACTCGAGGGTAGTTCTTCCAGGATGCTTTGTCCTCACTCGTGTGCACTCTAAGGGACTTTCTAGGGCAACATTACTTTAGAACAAACACGCTTAACTCTAAAGTTCTTTCGGTAAGACTTTCGAAAAAGAATGTGCACATTGTTGATACGAGTAGTCTATTCAATCAAATTAACTTTTAATCACTCTTGGATGGCGTAGCTCTGGCCCATCCATACACGGGAGTTGGCCAAACAACGACCCAACTCCGGGATATCACATTTTCCCCCAATTTTGAATGCAACGTTCACGTTGCACTTCAATGATCATCAACTGCTAGGCCCGTCAACAATCCGGTTAATGACTGCGGGCTGTCGCAGGTCGACTCTAATACCAACTGTGACACCCCGACACGCCTGGCTTAGCGTGACTTGCAGGTCGGGATGTCACAAAAAACATTCGATGAAAAAATCTAAATTTAAACCGAAGTACTTTTTGTTATTTGTATTTATTTTTATTTTTATAATAAATTTATAGAAGGTAATATATTTTATTATATAATTTTAAGAATGATATGGCATAAAAATATATATGCAATATTAGTTATATAAAGAGAAAAATATTGGATGTAGTTGTTTTTTCTAATTATTTTTTAAGAAAAATTCTAATGTTTTATAAAAAAAATAATAATTTATTTTAAAAAATAATAGTAAAAATTAAATGTTAAACAAAGTGATAAGTTTTATAAAAAAAATAATAATTTATTTTAAAAAATAATAGTAAAAATTAAATGTTAAACAAAGTGATAATATATATATCAGTGAACAATGGTATAATAGTTTTAGAAAGATATTAATAAAAATGAAAAAAATCCCCTCAAATATACAAATCTTTTTATTCTAGTCAAATTTTGTATGTAATTTAGGTTTTATTATTATTATTATTATTAACTACAAATCTTTTTATTCTAGTCAAATTTTGTATGTAATATATTCTAGTCAAATATAGGGTTTTTTTTTTTTTTTTTTTTATATAATTAAATGTGTTGATTTGAAGATTTTCTTTTTAATGTGAGGTATATAAAATTGTGTCGATAATATAAAAAATAATATTTCCATTCATCTTTGTAGGATGAGAAAATATATACATTGAGAATCATGTAAGAAAAAATTTTTGGCAAACAAATTAGTAATACAATTTGAAATCAAATTTGGCATGACTTCCTCATTTTATATTTAGTTTGACTTGATTTTGGATGTAGAACAAGCAAATATTTATAAATTTTAAATAATTTTTTAAATAAACCAATTTATAAGTTAAATAAATTGTATATTAATGGAAATTCCAATTCAAGAAGTTAGTGGAATAAAGCAAGTTGACTATGATTAATATTGTGTTTATAGGGCGTGTTTGGTTGTGATTTGCTTTTAGTTTAATTATATCAATGTTTGTAAGAGGAAATTATTAATTGACTATGACGTTTTCAAAATATAAATATTTTTATCTATTATCCTAATATTATGAGTGTTAGCAAATCTAAAAAAAAAAAAAAAAAAAAAAAAAGAGAAAATTGATAGGTATATTGATGGGTGTTGTTCACCTTTTTCTTTCTAAAAAAATATGTGCAGACAAAGAAAGCATATCAACCTTTGTATGGTTCTTCTATTACAATTGCATATGATACGGTATGATTACTCTAATTAAACTTTTTCTAATTGCACTTGATAAACCTTGTCAAATCATCCTAAAACACATACACATACATCCATAGGGTGAGCATTCGGATTTTCGGTTCAGAAATCCGAAAATTCGAAATTTTTGAAAAAACCAATCCGAACCGAAATAACCGAAATAACCGAAATCCAAAATCCAAAAATCCGTAATCCGAACAAAAAAATCCGAACCAAACCGAAAAAATCCGAAATTCTAAATATTTTTATTATTATTTTTTTAATTTTTTAATTTTATTTATTTATTATTATTTTATAATATTAAATATATATAATATATAAAAATTAAATATATTAAAATATAATTAATAAATTTGAGTTTTTTTATATTAAAATATAATATTTTCTAATAAAATATCAAATATGTATAATAAAAAAATATATTAAAATGTTATATTCGGATTTCGGATTGGTTCGGATTTTAAGTACACCGATCCGATTCGATCCAAAAATTCAAAATTTGTTAAAAATTCAATTCGATCAAATCCAAAAATCCAACCAAATTTTAAATTTCGGTTTGGTTCGGATTGAATTTTCGGACTTCGGATATTTTGGTCACCCCTCCACATCATCATCATAGTTTTGTTTACTATCGATTATTTATATTTTGTATTTTATATAATAGTTTTGTATGTTATATTTATGATATATATAATGTCGATTTATAAAATAAATATTTATATTTTATACCGAATTTAATAAATATTGTATTTTAATAAGATTATGTGATAGTTTTGGTATGTAAAAACTATTTTACCTTTCGTATATAAAGCTAATATAAAAATATTGATATAAATAAATATAAATATAAATATAAATATAAAGATATTTATAGTATTTATAAACTATTTTACCTTTGATAAACTCACAGCAGTGGTTGGAGTAAGAGATTTGCTATACCTGGAGATTTTGGAGGTGTGTATTCAATTGAAATTTTAATGAATTTTAGAAAAATCTATGGATTTATATATATGGATTTAGAAAATTCACAAAGTGTACCTTGAGTTTGATGGATTTTAGTAATTGATTTAGATGGATTTTTGTAGAATTTTAAGATAATTTTTTTGTAAATATATATTAATTATATATGTATTTACTTTTTATGTAAAATGGTTATATTAAAATAAATAAATAAATAATTTATAAGTTTTGAAAAAAAAATTAAAATAAATAAATAAATATAAATTAACGGTTCAACAAAAAATATATATTTAAATATTTATTTCACCGTTATCGTAATGATGATATAGTGTATTCGATAATTGAAAAGAAAAAATGACAGTAATATAATAATATTTTTTAAAATTATATTTATAATATAAATATATATTTTAAAAAAATCATAATAATTTGCTAATATATTTTAGTTTTAAATTATTATTTTTATTAAAAATTATAATAATAGTAATAAATATTATCATATTATTGATCATATATACAATAATAATAATAATAATAATAATAATAATAATAATAATAATAATAATAATAATAATAATAATAATAATTTTAAGAATTCATCAAAATATGTGATGGTAAAGAGAGATTCTTTTCTATACAAAATTTTCACAAAAATCCATTAGAATCCATTAAATTCCATAGACTTTCATGGATTGTTGAATATCTCAAAATTTTAAAAGACTTTTAAATATATATATTGAATACCTCATGATTTTAAAAGACTTTTAAAAGTCTGGATTGAATACCTCTAGATTTTAAAGGACTTTTAAAAGTCTATATTGAAATACCTCATGATTTTAAAAGATTTTTAAAAGTTTGGATTGAATACCTCTAGATTTTAAAGGACTTTTAAAAGTCTTGATTGAATACACTCAGATTTTGAAAGTCCAACAAAATCCTAACAAAATCTATGTTGAATACACCCCCTTTTGTCTCGATTGATGTTTGAAAATTTGGTTAACTGCAATAAGCTTTCATATATGGGAGGAAGGCTGTTGCTGGCGGAATTTGATTCCCTAGTAGACAAGGATAATTTTATGGTAAATCCAGAGTTCTCATGTCAGGAGTTAATCCTATGGAGGAAACAATGGGACTCGAACTTGAAGCTGTGTCAAAGATTGGTGTGGATTAAAGTTAAGGAAATCCCGGTTCAGGTGTGGGGGGAGCAAGCATTCCGGAGAATAGCCTATGAGTGGGGGGAATTCATTGGAATGGATAAGGATACTTGAGAGGGATCGAGATTGGACTCAGCTAGGGGACTTGTGCTTATGGGAAGGAATATAAGGGTGCTAACGACGCTTCAGGTAATTGTGGAAGGGAAGAAATGTTTGTTGGGGCTGGAGGTGGCAAAAGCAAAAGATGCCGTGAACATAGATGGATGTTGGGATGTTCCAAGGGAGAATTGAGGTCCTCTGGAGGAAAAAACTTGGGCAGTGCAATCTCAAGCATCATTTGAGTCGATTGATAAGGATATCCAAAGGAAGGATAATCAATCCAAGGGTGCACAGAACCCTACTGTGGAAGGTAATTCTGCACGGGATAATAAACTAATGCTAAGGAAATCAAGGCCTATTGAGTTAGCATTTCAAAGCCCAGTTTGTGAAGGGGAAAAAAGGTGCCTTGGAAGAGAATGAAGTAAATGTAGAGAAG